TCATTCAAGCACAAGATTGTGGTAGGAAAACAACATTTAAGTGTTCCTAGAGCTTGCATGACAACACTTCTAAGAGCATGTTCAACATTTATTATATTTTTGGTGGCCTCTCTCTTTTCTCCTTTGCCCTTTTATTGATTTCTTTTTCTTTTTCTCTTTTCTTTTTCTTTTTCTTTTTCTTTACTCCTTTCATTGAGGGCTATATAGAACTAAAAACATGCCACATTTTGTAACTTAAGGAACAATGCTCCCTTTTACGAACTACCTCCACACTCACTTCACTTCTTAGCAAAACCATACACAAATCACTCATGTGGAACCTCGTTTAAGCTCAAATGGTATGAATGGAGCTTCCAAACACAAGGGAGACTTGATAACGGTGTAGACACAAAGAAAGTAGGGTCGCTCTATCTAAATCAATCAAGCTCAAGTAGCATGAGCTACCTAACACTAGAATGACCCTTAGACACAGGGATCAAAAGGGTTGACTAAGGGATAATATGATCGGGTTTGTCAACTTTTGGGTCGTGGGCTAATCCTATGCCTCCATCTTCCTTGCTAGCAACAACGTGAATGCTACACATCTTGTAAAAGGGGATCTATTGCACAAGAACGAAACAAACGACACAAGTCTCACATGGCTACCTAGGTGCTCAATCATTCATTCTCACTCCCTAAACTCGATGCATAGGCAACTGTGAAAAGCAAGTAATCGATTCAAACATCTATCAGTTCACAAACATATGAGAAATGAACCTATGCACAAACCTAATACAAGTCTCAATCTTCATCATAGGTTGAACATATTCACAAGCAAACCATCCATAGATCATGCTAATACCCACGAGATTCAAAAAAAAAAAAAACACAAGATGCCACTATGATCGTGCAAATGTAGAAGTTGTTGTGCTTGGAGCCCTCAAATTTTAAAATTTTGGGCATACAACTAGACTCCAAGCATTCAAAATCGCACCAAACATTCACACACACACATGCATAATGTACTACCCCCCACCCCCCACACTTAAGCTTGACATTGCCCTCAATGGCGTAAAGTAAGGAGGTAGAACGATGTTACTGGATACGATGTGAATGTTGGTGGTAGGGAACGGAGGTCGGGCGATATCCGGAAGAGCAAGGAGACGACAAAACACCGCCAAAATCTCTCCAATGGTCTTCTTATTGAAGCGAAAAGAAAACAAACCGATGGAATGGTTGGGTTGCCTCCCACCAAGCGCTTCTTTAACGTCATGAGCCGGACGGTTGCTCCTCAAGTTTCGGTCCACCCAAGAACCTCCTTGAAGTTGAGGTTCTCGTCGGTGAGGTGGCGTCTCAAGTCACGAGCATTGGACGAGTCCATGATTGAGGGCTCGTGAACTTGACGCGGACTAAGGCTCCACCCACGAAACCTCTCCTTCTTTCCTTCTTCATTCTCTTTTCCCCATACCAAGTAATGCATTATCGATTGATTTCCATCGCATCCACCAAGAAGGATCGCCGATGGTTTGGCCTTGTCTTGGCAAAGAGCCACAAATGGGTCCTTCTCCAATAGAGCATGGAGGTCGGGTGGAAAGCTTTCATAGCCCTCATAACTTGTGGATGCCTCATCCACCTCGACCTCGTCCTCATCTTGGACACCACTTGCTTCTTCTACTTCATTTTCAACCTCCCTTCCTTCTTATTCAATTTCCTCCCCTTGGGAACACTCGAGATCTTCCCCCTCTTTAATGTTTTCTTCCTCCTCTTCAACCTCTTCCTTATCCTTCCCATTTGTGTCCCTAAGCACAGTTTGGAGGGCAAGATGCCATGCGAGATCATAGAAGGGATTCTATTACTCCTCCACACTCATTCTTGGTCTTCAAAGTTGCTTTCGGGAAGGGGAAGATGATGGGAGTCGTCAATGCAACCTTCTTGTTCGTTCTCACCATGGGAGCTCTCTGGGGTGATATCCTCTTGCTCCATATGGTTGTCATTGATCACCCTTTCAACCTCCTCGTTCTCCTCCAATAATGAGAGGCGATAGCTTGCACAAGCATGTGCCACCTTCTCTTCTAATGTAAAACCGGGGGAGGGAGGGGCTGGAAATCCGTGTTGGAGCTTGTTTTTACAAATTTCTGCACGATAAGCTCCAACTTGGACTTCTCTTCGGGTTATGGGAGTTCCAAGCTCGAGCACCCTTCGTTGGTGCATCGAACAAACCGCTCCACCAGGAGCTCCAATTTTCTCTTTGGCTGTAACATCCCTGCTCTCGTACAAATTATTATGACGTGTTTGTGATCGGGTTACAAAAATTGGTCTTTTGAACCAAAAAGAAAGTGAATAGTGAAAGTTTTAGACTTCATTGCAAGTGAAGGAAAGTTTAGGGCCAAATGGACAATTTGGAGGGCTGGAGAATTCTAGATAAGGGAGAATGGGAGATAAAAATCTGCCCCATCCTCTTATCTCTCATTTTCTTCTCATCCTTTCCCCTCACTCTCTCCCACGTCTCTCTCTCCCTTGCTCTCTTTCTTCCACCTGCTTTCACCACCCCCAAAACCACCATCCCCTTTTCAGAAACAAGTAGTAGATAGATAGAGAGAAAAGGATATCAAGGAAAGAAAGAAGAGGGGAAACAAGGGGTGTTGCCAATTTTCGTCCAGCAGCAGGACAGCTTGTGGAAAGGACGATTCTGGACACTTGAGCCGTTGGATCGTGCTGATATTCGAAACTTTTGTTCTTTATGTCCTTTTCTACGATTGGACCGTTCGGATCATTGTTATGATCTCTGGTTCATCTAGGAATGTCGCTGGACAGAAGGGGTGCGACATTGCTTTCCGGTAGCAAGACAGCAGCTTAGAGGTAAGATCTTGTACGAAGTAGCCGTTGGATCTTTCTAGAAATTTATGTTACGTATATAATTTTCTTTGAGTTGACTGTTCAGATCTTAGTTTTGTTTTCGGAGTGGTCAGGAACAATTGTTAGAAGTAGGGGAGTTGGATTGAAGTGAGAAGAAAGTAGCTAACAGTTTCGAAACGTCAATTTAAAATGATTTATGGGATCAAAATACTGATCCAAATGGTCTGAAATTTGGATATGTTGTAGTCCTATGAATCTAGTTTCAGTAGCAACAAGAATCAACTGATTTGGTTAAGTATCAAGGGAGAAATGATCAAAATGATGAAGCAGGGTAAAGAGTGCGGTCGTATGACTTCCCTAGTGGCCTTATCGACATGCATGTACAACCATGATTATGATGATCGTATACGTGTATTGGTGCTTGAATAACCTGGAAAATTTGTATATAAAGGTAAGGAGCAAGCCGGGGGCTCATCCAAAGGCAAGGGCATAGCCGAGTGAAGATAAATCTGTGAGTAGATTCTAATCTTAGATCTACTTCAACATAATCACAGTATTCGGGTCATGAAGCGGCCCGAATACATATCGGGGTCATGAGGAGGCTCCGGTATAATATGGGAATTTATGGGAAATGATATGGCTATGTGATATGGCGTATTGGTGTTTATTCCTATGGCTATTGTGATATGACTTATTTGTGTTTATTCATTATCTGCATTTGGTATGAAGTTGGAAATGCATGAATTGTGAATGGGATATGGAAAGACATTTTTGTTGATTTATTGTATGGATTATGAGTAAGTATTCGAACTTGCGAACCCGTCTTGTCTGTTTAGATTTGGAGTAAGCCATTAGGCTTACTAATCCTCTTTTGCTTGAATGACTCGGAGTCAGCTTCTCAACTTACATTCCATTATGTGGTGACTGAGGGTGCAAAAGCACTATGAATGCTTTTGAGCCTATAGTGTCTAAGTGAACTATTAATGAAAAGAGGTGAATACATAAGAATAAGTAACAAGGCTTTATGATACCTCGGTACAGTAGTGTGTCCTGTTTGTATCGATGTGGCTAAACCCCACGATACTCCTGTTTGAGCGCTCGTGCTACGCACCGTGCCGATTGGGTGACGACCCATGGTACTCCTGTTCTGTTCAGTTAGCCGGGCTGGGGTAATCCCGTGGCGACTCCTGTTTTTGTATCGGTCCGGGTTGTGTCCCGCGATACTCCTGTTGGTGCGAGCACTCCTGTTTCGTGCCTTGTGCACTCCTGTTTATACCGGACTGGGTTTTGTCCCGCGGTACTCCAGTTATCTGATGGCTGTACATGGTTATCCTGCAGCCTTCCACTACTGTACTACCCGAGGAGTATATCATTTAGCAAGTCTGAAAGTGAAATTGTATAAGCAAAATACCTCTATCTGTCATCTGTTTATGTATTTTGACTATGGAATGTGAGCATGTGAACTGGATTGATTCAGTAAAATGACAAGTGGGATGAACAACTTAAGTCCTGTTATGTGCTAGGGTGTTTTCTGTCCGATACTGTTTTTGTATTGATGTCGATCCGAGCTTAGAATTTATTCACTGAGCGACGACTCATCCTTCGTCACCATTTTTCCCCAGATCAAGAGTAGAAGTAAGGCGTGTACTGTAGATATCGAGACTCAAGCTTGAAGGGAAGCCATGAGGTGGGCGGAGGACTCCAAACTCCTTGAATGTTTTATGTTGTGTGGATTTTGTAATAAAGCAGACTTCCCCGATTTTCTGTTTCGACTCTATTGAAAATGTAAATTATAGTTTGAAGTTTGAAAAAAAAAATACATATATAAAGCTCGGGACCGAGAATGTTTAAACTCGATGTTTTTACTGTTTCGTTTTGTAATATAAAGTAAGGGTTTTACATTTTTGGTATCAGAGCTGGGATATGATCCCGTGGATACCAAACGTTTTAAACGAGATTTTACTGGGAAAACTTAAATGATTTCATGGGGAAGTGACTAATTAATGATTTTGACTTTGTATTTTGTTTTTGTGGAGTTCAGTCAAGGAGCAGATCCGCAACCTCATGGGAATCCTAATGCTGGAGGTTCTAATTTTAATGGGAATAATGCTGAGTCCCGCAATAGAGCCAATCCTTATGTCAAGGATTTTGAAAAACTGAGGAATATGGGGGCTGAGTTCTTTAAAGGGGCTATTGACCCTAAAGATGCTCTGGACTGGATCAAGGAGATGGAACGAATCTTTAACCTCCTTGAGTGTCCTGATGAAGCAAGAGTGGAGTATATGTACTACCTGCTCAAGTCTGATGCTTATGACTGGTTGTTGACCGTACCCGGAGCTCAGGATCGTACAATTCAGTATACCTGGGCGGAATTTCTTGAGAAATTCCGTAAGCAATATGTGCCTGATCTGTATGTGGATAGGAAGAAGAAAGAGTTTCTGGACCTGAAACAACAAAGGGGGCAGACTGTTAAAGAGTATGATGCCATTTTCCATCGTTTGATGACCTTCGCGATGGAGTTGGTACCTACTGAACGAGCTAGATGCAACCGCTATGAGCAAGGCCTGAATCCCCAGATCAAGATGATAGTAGCAAAATCAGAGACGAATGATCTTGCCACCTTGAGAGAGGCTGCCATGAGAGCAGAGGATTTGGTGAATGAATTGGGAGCACAGATGGCTGAAGGAGGGAAGAGGAAGTGGAAGAACGTGGGTTCCTCGAGTGCTGGGAACTCATTCGGGGGTAGACCTAATCAGAGTCAGAAGGTTTCCCGTCCAATCGCCAGTTACCCCGGACAGGAGCGAAGAAGTGCAGGCCCAGCTCCGATTTGCCCACATTGTGGGAATCAGCATATGGGTGTTTGTAGGAGGGTGACTGGTGGGTGTTTCCGATGTGGAGACACTAGCCACTTTCTCCGCGATTGTCCCCTCATGTCAGAGTCCAGGCCTGCTGGATCCCAGACTACAATTCAAGGGTCCAGAAGGACTGGAGGTCCAATGAGAGGATCAGGAAGAGGTGGTAATAATCGTGGCAAAAGTCAGGGTGGACAGAGCAGTCGGGGTGAAGTGCAGCCACGAGCCTTTGCTATGACTAGGAGGGAGGCTGACATCTCCCCAGAGGTCGTTACTGGTACGGTTCTTATCTATGATCTTACCGCTTATGCGTTGATTGATCCTGGTGCTACTCACTCATTCATATCTTCTGCATTCTCACGTGGGTTGCCTGTGCACTATGAAATGTTGAACAAGAATGTAATAGTTCAAACCCCAGTAGGAGATACCGTAGTGATTGAATATGCCTATCCTGATGTCCCAATAAGTATAGCTGGAACTATTCTGCCAGCTAACTTATTGAGGTTAACGCTGACTGAATTTGATATAATTCTAGGAATGGATTGGTTAAGCCAACATAAAGCTATAATGAACTGTTATACCAAGGAAGTAATTTTCGAAAGACCAGATGGTCAGAATGTGATTTTTCGAGGGACTAGACAGGTGGTGCCTAGTTGCCTAGTCTCGGCCACCAAGGTGGTGAGTTTGATGAAGGAAGGCTGTGAAGTGTATCTGGCTTATGTGATTGAGGGCAAACCGGAATTGAAACCTGAAAATGTTCCGGTTGTGAAGGAGTTCCTGGACGTATTCCCTTCGGAACTTCCAGGATTACCTCCGGAAAGGGAAATAGATTTCACTATTGAACTGATACCGAGCAGTGCTCCGATCTCTGTATCTCCGTACCGGATGTCTCTGTTAGAACTGAAAGAACTGAAGGAGCAACTTCAAGAGTTGCTAGATAAGGGGTTTATTAGACCTAGTGTCTCCCCTTGGGGCGCTCCGGTATTATTTGTGAAGAAGGAGGATGAAACTTTTCGTATGTGTATTGACTATCGGAAGCTCAACAAGTTAACGGTTAAGAATAAATATCCGTTACCTCGGATTGATGATTTGTTTGACCAACTACAAGGATCGAGGGTCTTTTCCAAGATTGATCTAAGATCAGGTTATCATCAATTAAGGGTAGCGGATGAGTCCATACCGAGGACAGCTTTTCGTACTAGGTATGGGCATTACGAATTTCTTGTCATGCCTTTCGGGTTGACAAATGCTCCAGCTGTTTTCATGGAACTAATGAACCGAGTGTTTCAGGATATCTAGATAAGTTCGTGATCGTCTTTATTGATGATATTCTAGTGTATTCTGGAAGTGAAGAAGAGCACCGGGAGCATCTAAGAATCGTACTGCAGATTCTGAGGGAAAAGCAGTTGTATGCTAAGTTCAGCAAATGTGAATTTTGGATGGATCAAGTAGTATTTTTGGGCCATGTGGTGTCTGAGAGAGGTATAGAGGTGGATCCAAGGAAAGTAGAAGCAGTAATACAATGGGAGCCACCAAAAAATATACCTGAACTAAGAAGTTTCCTTGGCATGGCCGGATACTACAGAAGATTCATTGAGGGGTTTTCTCTGATTGTTGCACCATTGACAAAGTTACTTAGGAAAGAGCAATATTTTATATGGGATAATAAATGTCAATCCAGTTTCGAAGAGTTGAAGCGGAAGTTAACCACTGCACCGGTTCTTGCCCTTCCCTCAGGAACTGGAGGTTATGTGGTATACAGTGATGCTTCGCATCAAGGGTTAGGATGTGTTCTCATGCAGCATGGTAAAGTAATTGCTTATGCTTCCAGGCAATTACGACCGTATGAGAAATCTTATCCGACTAATGATTTAGAACTGGCGGCTGTGGTATTTGCCTTAAAGATTTGGCATCATTATTTATATGGTGAGACAAAGTTACTTAGGAAAGAGCAATATTTTATATGGGATAATAAATGTCAATCCAGTTTCGAAGAGTTGAAGCGGAAGTTAACCACTGCACCGGTTCTTGCCCTTCCCTCAGGAACTGGAGGTTATGTGGTATACAGTGATGCTTCGCATCAAGGGTTAGGATGTGTTCTCATGCAGCATGGTAAAGTAATTGCTTATGCTTCCAGGCAATTACGACCGTATGAGAAATCTTATCCGACTAATGATTTAGAACTGGCGGCTGTGGTATTTGCCTTAAAGATTTGGCATCATTATTTATATGGTGAGACTTTTCAGATCTTTACTGATCATAAGAGTCTCAAGTACTTGATGGAGCAAAAAGAGCTAAATCTTAGGCAAAGGAGGTGGTTAGAGTTGTTGAAAGATTACGACTGTACCATCGAATACCATCCAGGCAAAGCAAATGTTGTGGCAGATGCTTTGAGTCGAAAGACCAAGCATCGTACTAGAAATGAGGAGACTGGTTTAATGGTAAATTTGATTTCTTTGAGAGCTATGAGTGTTGAATTGGAAATGAATTCCACAGGAGGGTTATTGGCGACTTTACAAGTGCGACCAATTATGAGAGAAAGAATTATTAAAGTTCAGGGTCAAGACCCTGAATTGAGGAAGATTATTGATAAGAGTCGTAAAGGGGAGGAAACCAAATTCACACTTCGAGATGGGGTTCTGACACTAAAAGAAAGACTTTGTGTTCCAAATGTGGATGAATTGCGAAGGGAGATTTTGGAAGAAGCTCATTCCTCTCCTTATGCAATGCATCCTGGAACGACAAAAATGTACCGTTCGTTGAGATCTCATTATTGGTGGCCAAGGATGAAGAAAGATGTGGCTGAACATGTCTTGACGTGTCTGGTATGTCAGAAAGTGAAAGCGGAACATCAAGCCCCAGCGGGAAAATTGCAACCACTGTCCATTCCAGAATGGAAATCGGAAAAGATACCATGGACTTTGTCTATGGTCTACCTAGGACTCAGAAGAAGAACGACGCCGTTTGGGTTATTGTGGACCGATTGACAAAGTCGGCTCACTTTATACCCATTAGATGGGGTTGTTCGCTAGAGATATTGACAAAGAAGTATGTGGAGGAAATAGTGAGACTACATGGAATACCAGTATCCATCGTCTCTGACAGAGATCCGAGGTTCACTTCTCGATTCTGGAAGAGTTTACAAGAAGCACTAGGTACTCGTCTGAACTTTTCAAACACTTTTCATCCCCAGACCGATGGACAATCTGAGCGAACAATCCTCACTCTTGAGGAAATGTTGCGAGCTTGTGTACTGGATTTCCAAGGTTCTTGGGATGAACATTTGCCACTGATTGAATTTGCTTATAACAACCAGTACCATAATAGTATTGGTATGGCTCCATATGAAGCTCTATATGGAAGGAAATGCAGATCCCCAGTGTGCTGGGATGAGGAAGGGTTAAGGCAATTGGAAGGACCTGAAATCGTTCAGGTGACAGTGGATAAGATTAAAGTGATCAGAAGCCGGTTGAAGGCCACACAAAACCGGCAAAAGAGCTATGCTGATATCCACCGAAGAGAGATGGAATTTCAGAGTGGAGAGAAAGTATTTTTGAAAGTGTCTCCTTGGAGAGGTGTTTTGAGATTCCAGAAGAAGGGTAAGTTAAATCCGAGGTATATCGGACCTTATGAGATTCTGGAAAAGATAGGTCCGGTAGCCTATCGACTTGCCTTACCACCGGAATTGTCTCAAGTTCACAATGTCTTCCATGTGAGTTTGCTTCGAAGATACCGATCGAATCCGTCTCATGTACTGGAACCAGATAAGATTGAGGTCCAGAAAGATCTAAGCTATGTGGAGGAACCAAAAGAAATCATGGATCAAAAGATGAAACAACTTAGGAATCGAAGTATTCCTATGGTGAAAGTAATTTGGAAAAGTCACACTGGAGAAGAAGCCACGTGGGAGACGGAAGAAAGCATGAGAGCACAATACCCCTACTTGTTTCAAGGTAAATTTCGGGATGAAATTTTATTTAGAGGGGAGGAAATGTAACATCCCTGCTCTCGTACAAATTATTATGACGTGTTTCTGATCGGGTTACAAAAATTGGTCTTTTGAACCAAAAAGAAAGTGAATAGTGAAAGTTTTAGACTTAATTGCAAGTGAAGGAAAGTTTAGGGTCAAATGGACAATTTGGAGGGCTGGAGAATGGGAGATAAAAATCTGCCCCATCCTCTTATCTCTCATTTTCTTCTCATCCTTTCCCCTCACTCTCTCCCATGTCTCTCTCTCCCTTGCTCTCTTTCTTCCACTTGCTTTCACCACCCCCAAAACCACCATCCCCTTTTCAGAAACAAGTAGTAGATAGATAGAGAGAAAAGGATATCAAGGAAAGAAAGAAGAGGGGAAACAAGGGGTGTTGCCAATTTTCGTCCAGCAGCAGGACAGCTTGTGGATAGGACGATTATGGACACTTGAGCCGTTGGATCGTGCTGATATTCGGAGGTTTTGTTCTTTATGTCCTTTTCTACGATTGGACCGTTCGGAACATTGTTATGATTTCTGGTTCATCTAGGAAAGTCGTTGGACAGAAGGGGTGCGACATTGCTTTCCTGTAGCAAGACAGCAGCTTAGAGGTAAGGTCTTGTACGAAGTAGCCGTTGGATCTTTCTAGAAATTTGGTATAATGTTAAGTATATAATTTTATTTGAGTTGACCGTTCAGATCTTAGTTTTGTTTTCGGAGTGGTCAGGAACAATTGTTAGAAGTAGGGGAGTTGGATTGCAGTGAGAAGAAAGTAGCTGACATTTTCGAAATGTCAATTTAAAATGCTTTCTGGGATCACAATACTGATCCAAATGGTCTGAAATTTGTATATGTTGTAGCCCTATGAATCTAGTTTCAGTAGCAACAAGAATCAACTGATTTGGTTAAGTATCAAGGGAGAAATGATCGAAATGATGAAGCATGGTAAAGAGTGCGGTCGTATGACTTCCCTAGTGGCCTTATCGACATGCATGAATACAACCATGATTATGATGATCGTATACGTGTATTGGTGCTTGAATAACCTGGAAAATTTGTATATAAAGGTAAGGAGCAAGCCGGGGGCTCATCCAAAGGCAAGGGCATAGCCGAGTGAAGATAAATCTGTGAGTAGATTCTAATCTTAGATCTACTTCAACATAATCACAGTATTCGGGTCATGAAGCGGCCCGAATACATATCGGGGTCATGAGGAGGCTTCGGTATAATATGGGAATTTATGGGAAATGATATGGCTATGTGATATGGCGTATTGGTGTTTATTCCTATGGCTATTGTGATATGGCTTATTTGTGTTTATTCATTATCTGCATTTGGTATGAAGTTGGAAATGCATGAATTGTGAATGGGATATGGAAAGACATTTTTGTTGATTTATTGTGTGGATTATGAGTAAGTATTCGAAATTGCGAACCCGTCTTGTCTGTTTAGATTTGGAGTAAGCCATTAGGCTTACTAATCCTGTTTTGCTTTTATAACTCGGAGTCAGCTTCTCAACTTACATTCCATTCTGTGGTGACTGAGGGTGCAAAAGCACTATGAATGCTTTTGAGCCTATAGTGTCTAAGTGAACTATTAATGAAAAGAGGTGAATACATAAGAATAAGTAACAAGGCTTTATGATACCTCGGTACAGTAGTGTGTCCTGTTTGTATCGATGTGGCTAAACCCCACGATACTCCTGTTTGAGCGCTCGTGCTACGCACCGTGCCGATTGGGTGACGACCCATGGTACTCCTGTTCTGTTCAGTTAGCCGGGCTGGGGTAATCCCGTGGCGACTCCTGTTTTTGTATCGGTCCGGGTTGTGTCCCGCGATACTCCTGTTGGTGCGAGCACTCCTGTTTCGTGCCTTGTGCACTCCTGTTTATACCGGACTGGGTTTTGTCCCGCGGTACTCCAGTTATCTGATGGCTGTACATGGTTATCCTGCAGCCTTCCACTACTGTACTACCCGAGGAGTATATCATTTAGCAAGTCTGAAAGTGAAATTGTATAAGCAAAATACCTCTATCTGTCATCTGTTTATGTATTTTGACTATGGAATGTGAGCATGTGAACTGGATTGATTCAGTAAAATGACAAGTGGGATGAACAACTTAAGTCCTGTTATGTGCTAGGGTGTTTTCTGCCCGATACTGTTTTTGTATTGATGTCGATCCGAGCTTAGAATTTATTCACTGAGGGACGACTCATCCTTCGTCACCATTTTTCCCCAGATCAAGAGTAGAAGTAAGGCGTGTACTGTAGATATCGAGACTCAAGCTTGAAGGGAAGCCATGAGGTGGGCGGAGGACTCCGAACTCCTTGAATGTTTTATGTTGTGTGGATTTTGTAATAAAGCAGACTTCCCCGATTTTCTGTTTCGACTCTATTGAAAATGTAAATTATAGTTTGAAGTTTGAAAAAAAAATACATATATAAAGCTCGGGCCCGAGAATGTTTAAACTCGATGTATTTACTGTTTCGTTTTGTAATATAAAGTAAGGGTTTTACATTGGCTCCAGTTGCGGAGTGGCACATGGTCTTGAGGAATGCCCCATGAAAGCCTCCATTGCCAACTCCAACTTGGATTTCTCCTCGGTTTGTGGAGGGATGTTTTCTTCGTATGGGGAAGCCTCTTGATACCCCCATGGGTATGGTTGTTCTTCTTGGAAGTGAGGTTGATCATAGAACCCGATTCCTTGGCTTCCACCTTCTTGACTACTCCATGAAGCCCTGGGGTACCCCCATTCGGGTGGTTGTGGATACCCCCACATATTGTAGAAGCCATTGGGATACATGATTCAACCTACACAAACAAAAATACAAAAATAAAATCAAACAAACACAAACCACCCTTCTAAGAGAAGAGTGGGTCAACAAACACAAAATAAAACAAAATGGCTAACGTAACGGCCGACCCTTTTTCAAATAACCTAGAATGATTCCCCGACAACGGTGCCAAAAACTTGACTCTTTCTAACTACAACATCCTGATCGAGGACCAAGTATAACCGCCAACCGGGTGTAGCATTGGACAAACAATAAGAATTTATCGTACCATGGGGAACTAGGCTTACCCTACTTCAGTTTTAGGGTTCTTTATCTAGCCAACCTAGGATGGTGATTAGAAGAATTAAACTAACTAACCTAGCTAACCACTAACTTAGATATTTACAAGGTTGGAGCTCTCTTGGGTTGAATCATCCTAGGTCCGTACTTTGGATCAATGTTGAGTATCCTCCTATCTCGATCGACTCAACTACAATACCATTTGAGTATGGGCTCCCTCGGGAATGACCCGGAATGACGAATCAATGGACGGGTAGTGCTTTATTCAACCTAGGGTTTCGTATAATGCTTGGAGACCGGTCGAATCAACTCCCTCGGGGACTACCCGGACTGTAGACACCACATTTTGTCCGGAGCAACCATCCTACTCAAAATTCGGAAGAATATTCCATTTAAAAATTAAAAAGAAAACCCAAGTGAAAGTTTGGACGAGGTTGGTTGAGATTAGCAGTGGCAAATCAATAAGTACCAATAATTTCGAAGTCCTCTTTCTGTTTAGTTCGAATAGCTGTACTAGGTAGGATTAGTAGTAGCTAATGACTACCAAATTCGCTTTATTTAGAGTAACAATATGCCGTCACGACTATACTAGTATTACGGTTAATGATTAGTGACATAGGTTTGAAATTGGTCAAATGAGATAGTAAGACCATATTAAACTTACTGATATTGGTCAATATTGGTCGAAATTCATAATCAAGAACTACTTATTTAAGAAGTTGGGATGTGGGTCACGATCAGGAAAAAGAATAAACAAGCTAGGTGGAAGCAAATCAATTGAATAGTTGGCCATACAATAATTACACGATCATTCTAATTATAAGTCGCAAAAATAATTACATGCATAATTACAAAGTACAAATGTACAACTAATAATTATTACATTTGATAAGGAATTAAGGATGAATAAAATAGGACTTCTTTTTCTTTTGGGCACCAATCAGAATTGGGGGCTTAGCCAATTAAGGCTGTTTGGGCCCCCATTGATCATCATTTCGGGCCGGAAACGGACTAGGGACCTGCAAACAAAAAAAAAGAAAATGTTAGAAGAGCAACCTAAAATGAAAACCCACAACCCAGGCCCAATTGACTCTGGTCAACTCTGGTCAACTTGGTCGACCCGGGTCAACCCAATCAAGTATGGTCAGCCCGGGCCAACTCTGGTCAACCCCGTCAACCAAACCCATCATTCTTATCTAAAGGAGCAGCAGAGTAGCAGAGCAGCAGAACAGCAGAGTCTCTGCCAAATCTAAAAAAGAAGATTTCGGCCACCTCCTCCAAGGACCAATCCCAAATTGCCAACAACATAAGTGGCTAAGGCTACCACTTCAAGAGCAAAGGAGGAGCAGCCAACACACAGGTATGAACAGTAAAAGGCAGCCATATATAAGGAGCTGTTTTACCCCCAAACAGAGGGAGGGAGAACCAACAACAAAAAAAACACACAAAAAGGGAGACAAAGAGCATTAAAAGCACTAAGCGCCAAAAAAGACAGAAGCACTAAGGATCCAAAAAGGGCAGGAAGTCAGAAACAGCAACGAGCCATCACCATCAAAATCCACTAAATCACAACACATGTTGGTATTCTCTACACCCCATTAACCGTACAAGCATTCTAGTTATTCATACATCCATGTAGAAGATCTACTTAACATATGATACTTCTAAGTTCATAATCCATACTTAGGCTGCCTAAATTTGTATGTGAAGTGGATATTACGAAATTCTGATCTTTGTGACATGTATGCCTCTTTATGCCATTCATTTCTTTCGTTATATGACAGTTTACTTTTTATCACCTAAATACAATGAATCAGTTTGAGTTGCTCTCAGTTTTTTCTAGCAAGCATAATTCTTGTTAAGCTGCTAGCTAAACTTAGCACTATTATCAGCCAGGCTAGTTCATTTACTCTTTCAACATAGCAATAATCAAGCAATCCATTCAAAACATAAAAAATTCAAATCACACCTTTGAGAGAGTATTTTAAAATACCTCATTTTGTGTTTAAGGGTACCCCTTTTCTTTAGCCAATTACCAGATTTGATAATCACGAAGTTCTCATTTGATTATTATTTTGTATGCTAAATACAATAAAACACTTTCATTAAAAATTCCATTTGTTACTAATCAGTATTAGCCTTTTAATCAAATTGTTTAACCAATTGATAGTCATAAGCAGTAGCTATGATGTCGTATTAGATTTAGGACCATTATAGATTTTCAAATTTTAATAAAGCAAGTTCACCACCATATCCAAAACCAAACATTAAGGCTAAACAAACCTAGGAGGTCTAACAAAATTTACTTTCACAACACCAGAAAGTTCAATAAACAATTATAACGATAACTAAACCACCCATTTTAGGTTTAGAAGAGGTATCACCTAGTTTCTTTCAAATTGAATAAGATCTGCAAAAAATTAGGAAATCGAGAGTTAGAACCCCAAAAATGATAATAGGTAAAAAACGAGAACAGAAAAATAAAACAAATAACTTACCCCCAAACAAAACCCTCGCCGTCGGCTCTGGCGCTGGCCGCGCCGCCGGCGACCGCCGCCTTCCCTTCCCTCCCTCGGCAGAGATCCAAAACCATAAACCGTAAAAACAAAAGAAAATGTAATCCAAAGATCAGAACCCGGTTTCTGAGATAGAAAAATCAAAAGAAAACCTACACGCAAACAAAATCTCACCCAGAATAAACCCCATCGCCGGTAAAACGGAAAGTCAGAACCCGGTTTTCGAACTAAAATCAAACAAAAACTCGCAAAAATCGACATGCAAACCAAGGGGAGTTGTCCCTTACCCTCGCCGTAATCGCCGCCGCCGAGCCCTCGGTCTAGAAATTTCCCCGGAAATAAAAAAGGAAAACGAGAAGGAAATTAGTAGAATCCAAACAATAATCAGAAACCAAAAATAAAAAATGTTTCGATCTTACCTAGATCGAGGCCATCTCGGTTGATTTCGTCTAGTGTGAGCGGCCTTTCAGGCGGATCGAACAGGGAGAGAGGCGGCTGTTTTTTTTGGTTTCGATTTTGGGTTTTCTGGTATGGAAGGAAGAAGAAGAGAGGGCGCCCCATCTTCTCTGTTCGTCGAGAGAGAGAGAGAGGGAGAGGAGAGCAGAGGCGGCGGCACGAGATCGGGGCTAGGGTTTGGGTTCTCTGGACGCGGGAGAAGAAAGGAAGGAGAGGGCGGCGGTTTTTGTTCGGCTAGGGTTTGGTTTTTTTTTTCTGGAAGAGGAAGAGAGAAGTGGAAGGATCGAGAGGAAGAGAGAGAGGCAAGAATGAGATGGACGAGAGAGAGAGAGGGCGGCCGCCTCTCTTTAGATTGATTAGGGTTTCTTTAGAAAGTATATATACCCCATCGATTACAACGACCAAAATACCCCTAGGGTTTATCGTTAATTACGCGGCCGTGCCACCGTGTTTTCGAGCAATTACTAGAATGCCCTTCCCCCATCCCCACACTAAAACGAAAAAAATCAAAAAAATCGCACTCAGTTGGTTTCGAACCCGCGGTCTCTAGGTCAGAGGAGGCTAGCGGTTTGACCAGTTAGGCTGCCGACAATCATATGCTAAATTATCCATCCCGCTTAACTTTATTTGTTTATAGTTCTTAATACGAAATGGTAAATGCGGATTAAGTTTATCTCGTTTCTTTTCCAATACGAGTCAAGCCTCTTCCTAATAACTTAAATTATTAAATTCTCTTTTCATAATTTCATAATAATCAAATTAAATTTTATTAACATAAATTATAATACGAAAATCACGATCAGTGGAACGTGATGAAAATGTCACAATTAAACTATCAAAGTTCAAACGAACTACGTGGACTTTGATCCCGTCTAACGGGTACGTAGGCAACCGATAAGGTTCGAGTCCAACTAACCAATTAACTTTATCTTTTACGTTAGTGGGCGTACAATTAAATTACAATTAATACGATTTAATTTTTTTTAATGGTCCAGTGGGACCCTAAAATTACAAAATCATTACTAAAATACACCCAACTCGCATAAAAACTTATCGACTTAAGTAGTACCGATTTAGGGCGTTGTGGGGTGTGATTTCACTTCCCCACACGTAACCGTACTCCCGAACCCAGAACTTTATTTTCGCAGACCATGCCTCGGTTCTGACACTAAGGTTAGAGCCGATCCGAAGAGTGTTCGATCCACTCCAAGTAAGATCGATGGCGACTCCCAAAAAACGCCGACGCGACGACATCGGACCCCCCCGGACGGGACGGTTGCGACAGTTGGCGACTCCGCTGGGGACATTCGAGAGTCGAGCTACATAACTAAGTTCGATAAGTTCTTCTAAATTTCTATTACGTGTTGGGTGTTTACGCTATTATTTCCGCAATTATATTTTCGCAATTAAATTCTGCATTCATGCATAAAAGCTCTATACCCGAGCTATCCTTTTAGAAAATTGAAAGGAGTACCGTGACATCCACAGTAGTGGTAGTCGCGCAAAACTTTCTAACCAAGTTGAACTCGGATCCGAGGATGATCTCGAGGTATCCAGCCAGTTTGAAAGGGCTACGGCAAGATACAACTTGGGAGCCAAATTCCTAGAAATTCCTCTGCCAGCATATAGTAAGCATAGAAGCCTCCCTAAACAGTCCAAAATAATCCCAAATGCCACCCTACAACCAAGTCATTACGCCTCCCTAAGCCATAGGTGTACCTAATTAGGATGACATTCTTTCTATCATATAAATGTATGTTTGTTATTGATATGATATGTTATGTTCTGTCTTTTACTTAACTGGCGTGAAAGGTTTTTTAAAAACCCATATCTTTATATTTTCCTTAAAACTTTCATTCAATAATTCAAAATTGGTCACACAAATATTTTTGCAAAACATATACACCCCTCAAAATCGTATTTGCATTCATGCATCATTGCATTTTTTGCATAAGCATCATGCATACGTATAAAGAACAGAATAAATTTAACAATGTTAAGAAAAAATCAGGTTTTCTTAAAATTGCTCCTCCACAAGGAAAAATCAAATCCTTAAGTACTCGACAAGATCCGAGGCTCAGTTTGTCATGGAGGCATTTCAGAAGGATTTAAATGACATCAAGAGAAGAGTGATTGGGCTTGAAGAAGTGAAAGAGGATGTTAGCACAATTTTGAGGATTCTGTCAAAAATTGAGAGGACAATGGAAGCGAAAAATGGAGATGCGCCATTTGGCAAAGAAATTTTATACCAACCGCACAACAAAGTAACGTCAAATGATAAGACTCCACTCCTGCTCTCAAAGAATGTGCATGATGCAGAACAATCAAAATGTGACAATCCGCGAAGATCAGAAAGGCTTGAAGAACGTGTGATCTGCATCGGACAAGGGAAGTTAGAGAATCACGAAATGGATGAGAGGGCAAACCAAAGGGTACGAAATAAAGGAAAACTACTGTCAACCCAGGTGGAAGCAGAAGAGAATATCTGGAAGTGTCACTTTCAAAAGAATCATGCTCTTTCTTATGTTGCAACAACCACACCAATATTGCGACCTCTGAACTTTGTGACACCAGCAAATCAAATCCCACTACCGGTACCACAACAAGGTGTTAACCGAGATGTCACTATGCCAAGGAAAGCAAAAAGGGTATTTGATCCAATCCCAATCACGTATACCGAACTCTTCCCTCAGTTACTCCATGAACGACTAATCGCTCCTATTCCGGGTGAGGCTCTACGACCTCCATATCCAAGATGGTATAGGTTCGATAAGCAATGTGATTACCATTCCGGAGTCCAAGGGCACTCTGTGGAAAATTGTAACGCTATGAAGATAAGGATTCAAGAGATGGTAAAAGCTGGTTGGTTGAAGTTCGAAGAAGAGCCAAAACGCCCAGACGTCAACAGGGATTCACTGCCAACACATGAGAATTAGTGGGCGTACTACAAGGCAAAACTCGATTATGATGATGTCGAGTCTACCAAAGTAAATAAAATATCGAGATCATTTGCCATAACAAAATATGTATCACTTTTGCTTTCGTCATCATGAATAAAAGATCTTTCACGTTTCGACCTTTTCGGAGCATTGCGTGACCATTATCAATCTTAATTTGAGAGTTCCCATCAATGGTTTTTTTTATCAAAATAACGAATGCCACTACAGGTCCTTTTTTTTAAAACGGATTTATCTTCTAAAAAAATGGTAGCCATCCAAAGCCGACTTTATTTTCGAAGTTAAGCCATGAGACTGCCATGATAAGCAATTATGAGCACCCCACTGGTGCTGAGATTTGGGACACCCCACTGGTGTTGAGTGATTATAAACACCCTGCCACTGTCAATATTTTGAGCACCCACTGGTGTTGAGGGTGTGCATGATCAACTAAAATCAAGAAACAAACACCCTACTAGCGTTCATAAATTACGTGAGCTAATAGTAGAAAGGTGTAATGAGCATACGACGTCATGCTACTTGTAGAATCTCGTCACCACTACATTTGACTTTCGCCAACAAATTGAGACTCAGCTTACATGAACTCAAATAGCCAAATCTCGACGTACAAGGGACACAACATTACAGACATGAATCTCTCACAATATTTCGTGACAAGAAGACCGGGAAGTTCAGGGATCTCATTTATCAAAACCTAAGAATCACTTGAGTGAAGCACTCATCTATACAAACAAGCACATGGCATCGAAATCCTCACTTCTACAGAAAAGAATAGCCAATTCAACCTAGCTAACGAGAAGCGACACCCACACGATCAATCATCAAAACAGACTCTCGTTCCTTTCACTACTCGTCCCACCGAAGACAAATAACAGATCGAGGAAGAAAGAAGCATAGATGGGGGCATAACAAAATCAAGTAAGTCCCACACGAAAAAAACAAACAAACAAAAAAAACCAAAAAAAAAACCAAAAAAAAAGAAGGAAAAAAGAACAAAAAGGAAAAAAGAAAAAAGAAGAAGAAAAATGTTGTGGGACTTACAAATTAGGTGCCCCTATTTAACTTTTGAAGTACCAACTTTCTGCACCAAGCCAAAGTCTTGCCCGACCAATTTCAAGATACGGCAAGAAGGACCTTCAAGCAGTAAACTTTGATGATAAGAAAGCCTTTTCGGCCAAAATCACTTCGTCCCAGATACTCATCATTTTGAGAGCAAGTCAGAAGCTGAAGCTCCACCACAACCCACATTTAGAGGTCAAACAAAAACCTTGACAAGTCCATAACCAGATTACATTCGCAAAAACTTCAAAACCACGACCCTTGAAACCCTAGTCTCAAAGACAGGGGGCAAAACCAGCCAAACACCACATTCCCTCAAATATGCCCAAGACTGGCGACATTTTCAAACAAATCTTCGCCGAAAAGAGACCGGGATAGTAGTGGTTCTCAACCCGTCATGTCAATCTCATACAGTGGGGGCAAAACCAGAATCCCTCTACAAGAAGTCTTAGGGGTGATATCAAAATATGACTTATCTGTCACCCATCTGAATAAACCACACTTCAAGAAGACGCCTACCATCAAAGTCATATTGGACTAAAGCCCTTTCATTGGAGATCAAGACCGTCTACGACAATGCCATATGGAAGTCTCCTAAATCAATTACGTCAAGGGATTCCATATTGAGTAAATCTTCACAAGGAACGCAGTTGGGATCCTGTTGGCCACCAACATAAAAGGGGACATCTCAAGGTGACCAGAATCTTAATGGTAGCTGAAGTATCGTACACTCAAATCACCTATAGGAATGAGTGTTGAGCGAAATCCAAAGCGGGAGTGAGAGCGATCAAAATCAAAAGCAAGAGTGAGAGCGAGGGCTTACTGATATTCTCATGGTTTGGCTTACATTTCTCTTAGAAAACCAAATTTGGCAATATGACAACTACCACACAAAAACGGTTTTCTCCAGTTTACACACACTTCTCGAAACCAAAATCTTGACATGGCTTTCAATTTTTAATTCTCTAACAAACGTTTTTCAAACATTTTTGCTTTCGTCTTAAGTACAGATTGATATAGTCACTCTTTGTTCCGGAGAATAGAAAGTGGGCAACAGATCTTTGGAGGCAAAACTGGTACACCATGAAATAAGGGGAAGTCTGAGTACCCAAGAATCAAATTAATCAACTTTCACTCATGAGTTGACGAGAAAATCTCCCGAGAACATTCATATCTCATCAAGCCAACCAGCCAATCAACTGCACAGCAAGAAGGAAGTCCTACTATACTGCACATTCCAAGAGATACACAACTTTAAAGCATGAGGGTCCAAGCGTGACCGACAAGAAGAATGAAGCAATATACACCATCAGTATACCCTCATACAATACCACCACGAAGATAAGCTTCAAGCAAGCAAGCTGAAAATCTCTCCAACATAAGGAGAACCAAAGATTAAGTCGATCAAAAGGAAATGACGATCCCTGGAGGATGAGCAATTTAAAGGAACCCCGGGTTAAAATGCAAAACAAAAACCAAACAAAACGACATATTCTCATAACAGTTGCCAAATGCATCATATCATTTTTTTTTTTACTAAGTATTCATGACTTCATTAGCATGACACATCACAAAATCATTCTCAAAATCATTTTGATACTCCTTAAACAACATCATATGTTAAAATGGGTCATGCATTTATTGCCAGCAATTCCCAAAAGAACTCATACCTTTAGTTGGATTTCTAATGTTTGTAAAAAGGAATCACTACAAGATACACCAACTACATTCACGTGAATTTTTCAAGTCTCATGTTTAGCTTTCACGTGCATTTATGACAAGCCATAACAACGGTTTAGGAACGTCCCAAACAAATACCATGAACATACAATATCGGTGCTGGCAAACAATCGCGAGCCCTCTAATAGACGTGTTCCGTCGACTATCACGGACAATTCAAAATTACCTAGTCAATTTGTTTCGTCGACTATCACGAACAAATTAAAACCCCCATACTAAATTCGTTCCGTCGACTATCACGGGCAATTTAGGAATTGTAGACAATTTGTTTCGTCGACTATCACGAGCAAATTAGACCATCTTTTTAACTTGTTCCGTCGACTATCGCGGGCAAATGAAAATTACCTAGCCAATTTGCTTCGTCGACTATCACGAGCAAATTAAAAAAAAAAAAAAAACCCCTTCTAAATTTGTTCCGTCGACTATCACGGGCAATTTAGAAAACCTAGTCCATTTGCTTCGTCGACTATCACAAGCAAATTAAAACCCTCATGCTAAACTTGTTCCGTCGACTATCACGGGCAATTTAGAAAACCTAGTCCATTTGCTTCGTCGACTATCACGAACAAATTGGATCCCCTGCTAAACTTGTTCCGTCGACTATCACGGGCAATTTAGAAACTAACTAGTCAATTTGTTTTGTCGTCTATCACAAGCAAATTAGACCCCTTGCTAAACTTGTTCAGTCGACTATCACGGGCAATTAAAAAACCCTAATCAATTTGTTTCGTCGTCTATCACAAGCAAATTAGACCCCTGCTAAACTTGTTCCGTCGACTATCACGGGCAAGGCAAAAATTATCTTGTCAATTTGCTTCGTCGGCTATCACGAGCAAATTTAAAACCTCCTTTCGAAGTTGTTCCGTCGGCTATCACGGCCAGTTTAGAAAACCAAGTCAATTTGTTTCGTCGGCTTTCACGAGCAAATGAAATCCCTCCTTCTAAAACTTGTTCGTCGACTATCACGGACAATGTAGAAAATCTAACCCCGCTCCGCATACCGCGAGGGGGCAACAAAATTCCCGAGTATGCTTACCGCAGCCGA